CTATGATTCGCATAATTATATCCATTGTTATGGTTATAGCCATTGGTGTCGCTGTCGAGTGACTCCATGGAGTGGCCAAACCTGTGGCACTGGTAGTTATATATTGTAGCGTTGTTTGAGAAGCGGACAGTTGGCTGAGGATTGTCTCGTAAGGAGATGTTGTGTTCGCCATTCACCAGCTTTTGATGACTGAACCGTTTGTTTAGCTCTTGGGATATATCAGAGGCCCGGCGCCGAAACATTTCCTCATTTCTTTGGTGGGACTGGTATTTAGGAGCCGTTGACGAAGAACTGGACGTCGAGGAAGTGGTGGCTAATGACGTATTTATAGCAGGGTTATTTAAAAGTTTATAATTCACTGCATTGTCGTACATATCGTCGAAATTTCGATCAACTCCCGGATTATCACCGTTTGAATACTGATTGCTATTATCGTCCACAACATTATCACTGATAACATCACTGTTTGACAAATTATTATCACTTTTCTTATTTGTATTGATTGTATCACTTGTTGTCTTAAAACAATTTTGGTTATCATTAATACTATTTATAACGCAATTGTCTTCTTCATTAGAAACACTGGTTTTGTCATTATTTTGATGATTGCTATCATTATTGGCGATGGTTTTCATCTCCAAATGGTTAGTAGTGGCCACTGATGTCACATACGAGTTGTGATTCATGTGAACCGATAATAGTTTTCGTTCATCTGATTGACACCTATTTTCGGACACCGTTTGAGTGACACGAGTGCCGGAACTCATGTCTTCGTAACGAGTCTTTGATCGCAACACCACAACACAAATGCCGATAAATATGACCAGAAATATGAATATCGTTCCCAACACCATACCCGCCACTTCTTCACCGGTATAGTTACCCCCATTGGCCAGTCGTTTCAGTATTGTTAGACTTAGATTTGATGATACCGTTCCCGCTTTATTGCTACCGGTGCACGTGTAACTGTGTAATTGGGTCAGGTACGGATTAGTAATGTATTTAAAATTAAAATTAATAAATAAATTCAATTAACAAAATTTTGTATTAAAAGTTAACTTAATTTATATAAAAATTTGCTTTATCATTAATAATTCATAGTTCAGTATAAATATATATATTATTTTTAAATTATTAATAAAAATTCTGTAAATTTTATTTTATACCTCTAAATCAAATACAGTTAATATTCTATTAAAATATTTGAAATAAATCTAATACCACTTTTATGCTCAAACATACTGTAAATTGATTTTTGAAACTTTAAATTGAATTTAGATATTTCGTTTAGATTGGTATTCAAAAGATAATTATTTATTACTATCTTTTGAAAGTAGTATTAGATTTATAGAGAGTTTTGCATCATTTTTCATTCCCTACTCTCTGAACACAATTCTGAAGCATTGATTTTGTTGCAAAAATCCCATTCATTATCACTAACGTTATGTAATGTACAAAATATTCACAATTAAGCCTCTCATATATCAGTATTTCATGAATTTAAATATTTTATGACGCTTTTTGTCACTTAAATATTGATTCCCATATAAAAAATGAAGGCTTACTATCAATTGACTTCCATATGAATTGCTATTTCAATATTCAATAAAACCGATAAGTATTACAAACGTATTGTATTATACGGCATACAATGCATGAACTATTTGTGTTGATCACAGAAATTCTGTTATTTTCCCACTGAATTCGTTGGAAATAATATAATCTTTAAATGCATGGCTACAATATTTATGCGTATAGAAATTGATTGAATACATATAAGCTTTTATTTATTCATTATTTCGTTTTCCTATTTCTCTGTCTCTTAATTCAAACGCCAAACCCCTAACGAATGTATGTTTTATTTGCAAACAATTCTCTGCTAATAGAATATTCATTAACATACAAAACACTGCTTATGCTATAGGAGTATATTGTGAGCACAGAATATTCACATATTTGTGTTTATTTCACCAGTGTCAATGTGAATCCCATGTATGCATACAATACAACTGTGCCTTGAGTTCAGTTGATTTATGGCTTAATTTTGATATTGTATTGATTCATACAATTGTTTTATTTCTAATACATGGCAAATACAAAATTTATTATCGTATGTATATTTGTTTTCTAAGTAAACATATTCTCCAAGCCTTTGTCATATTGTCACAGAATTTCATTACTCATAAAACAGGGAATTTATTACATAATAAAATGTATTAACAAATCAACGATCAAAGAATAATTTATGAAAAACGCTCACAAACTGCACACAAATCTTATATTTAATTAGAAAGAATTAATTCATTTAAATAGCATTCATGTGATTCATGTCGAAAAAACAATTACAACATTATTTATTATTAAATACATCCGAGATGTCTATGAATGCCAGTCGTATGGCCTGAAGTCTATTTTGCGTTAGGAATCAATGAAATCAAATCATCGCAATTGTATGCATACCTTCCGGCGTCCTTTTCCAACGCATTCATAATATATAGGGTAGAGCTTCGCTGGAAAGGGCCGTCGGAGCCCTCCTTAATGATGATCATCTGTCGTCCGAAAGTCATTAACGACATGTTCTTCATTGGGCGCGACTTCGACACCCAATTGACGGCCGCCGCCGGAACCGACTCCACCAGACAGGCGATCGACGCGTTGTCGCCTAAATCACAGTCAAACACAACAATCAATGTTTAGTTTTGTTTTTATTTCAGTTTTCGTGTAATATTATATAAATTGAGTGGTTTTAGTAATATTTTAAATAAGCTAATGTTTAGCATATTTGTAATTTTTCTATTAATGGATATTGCAGTGAATTTGTGTGATAATGGAAAGGGACAGAGACTAGTGGTGATGGCAATGGCGAGGGAGTGGGAGATGGAGAGAAAAGATGAATATTTGATGCATTAATCAGTATTAGAGAAGGAAAGGTATGTATTAGAGAAGGAAAGGCACAAAATAGACGAATAGCTAAACTCAGCGCTCAATCACAGCATGTAATGCAAGA